CTCCTCTTGCCTCCCCAGGCACCAGGCACACAACTGGTGAATGGACATACAATGCAAAACTCCCATACACATCAGATTAAAAAAAAAATAAGGCAAATAAAAGGAAAACAGAAAATTTCTCTAAGATACACAGATTTCAAATAGGTATTTTTTACAGATCACTGAAGAATACATGTTTCAGAGGAAAAGGCTGATTAGAGAAGAAGCAATAAATTCGGAGTAGCTCTGAAACCCACAGAGCAACTGCAAAGCTCTGCCATTTCCTCGGGGGAAAAAAAGTTTTGATTGTATCCTTTAGCCAAATAAATGTAGGTTAAATATTAGATTCATGGAGACAGAGAAAGCTCCAGAAATACTTGGAAATCATGCAATTATAAAGGAAGGAACCACTGAAATCATCTAGCTTGTTCAATATGGAGGCGATGAAACTGAGAAGTGTTCTGTTCACTGTTAGCGGCTTCCTAAGTGGCAGAATCTGGAGAGCCAGGACCTTCACTGCACTCGACACCTCTTGTTCAGGCTCCCTTGTTATTTCGTAATTGCAGCACATTAGGTTGTAGAGGTTAACTTTCCCAGGTTTAGCTTACCCTGTGAGTGCTAGAGGGTGCTTGCCAGTTAGCTGACCCTATTATGTAGGTAGTTCAATGGCCTTCATCTCAGAAGTGATTCCAGGAAAGAAAGGGTATAAAATAGGCAAAATAATTGCCCAAGAGCTCTAATTTCATGACACATACCATTTTTACACAACAAAAAGCAGCTTGGCACATTATTCATTTCTTCTGAATGGTTTATTCAAAGTTAAAAATAAGTTGAGAAGGGAACGTTTTATTGTAGCAATCTTTAATTATCATAGCCATTTTTTTCAAAGGCAAGGGCAAGGGAGCCAGACAAGAACAGTGCTATCCTGTCACTTGTCACCCATAAACACTGCTCAGTACTTAGGCTTTGGCTGAAGTTAGTAACTCTAGTTAACGATGTGCTTTCTATCTTAAGACTTCTTTACCACCTGAAATTATTATTAGTGTTATAATAATACTAACATCTCTAAAAATCCAGTCTATTATTAATTCCAAGCTCGCAGATCCTCTTTACTCTTATAAAGTAGGACAGTTATCATTATTTACACTTAGCAATGGGAAACTTAAGGCATAAAAAGCTAAGCAGACTTCTAAAATTCACAGCTATTTGCTGTAATACTTAGAAATAAAATTCAGGTCTTTGACTACCTACCAAGCTTCTATGTTTTCTAGATAGAGCATTGTCTTTTTTAGATTAAAAACTGACCTTATGTGGAACTTTGGATTACTTTACTGTCTCATGTACATGATGATTTTGTCTTTTGCTTATAAGTACTGTTTATTTATATTTTTATTATTTTTTTTACAGCATCCAGACAGTCCCCTGAAACCAGTAAGTATTCAATAAATGTTTTTAAGAGTTAGGGACATCGGGATTGCTGCCATAGGTTGGTTATCTGAGGGAGGACAATGAAGAATTACATATAATTCATTCAGTTCTTTCTCATTTAAAGGCTCCTAGTCAAATTAGCAGATACTGGTGAGGAGGCCTGCATCGCATCACTGAGATGTTAACTCAAAATGTTAAGTCAAAAACCCCAGTTTCCTTATTAGAAACGTAAGATGGAGTATTTGAAAATCTAAGGTGTAGTTGACAAAGTGTCTATATTTAGAGTATACCACATGATGTCTTAATACACGTATATACTGAAAATCGCTTAAATCCAGGTTTAATATTTTCACAAGAGAAATATTTTCCATTTTTAGACTTACATTATACTTCTTGAACGGTTACATTAACCTGACTGGGTTAATGGAGGACTGGACAGACAGTAAAATAGTATTTCTGAATGTGTCTATAAGGATGTTTATAGAAGAGATTAGCTTTTGAGCTGGTAGACTGTGCAAGGAAAATTGCCTTCTTCAGTGTGGGTGGGCATCATGATTGGGCTGAAAAAAGAAGAAAGAAAACCTAAAAGGTAGAGGAAGAAAGATCTGCTTAAGCTGTTCATGCATATAATCAATTCTGTGAACATTGGTGCAGATGTCAGTCAGATTCTGCAGGAGTAACAGCTCGTCTGGTTCATGGGCCTGTGAGCGTGGACTGGAGCTATATACCACTTGCTCTCCTGCTTCTGGCTTTACTTTAGACTTCTATGTCTTCATTATCTCAAGCCAGTTCCTTAGGACACATCTTCATCTTTCTATGCATCCTGTTCGGTCAATTTTTCTGGAGAATTCTAACGCAGTAGTTCCCAAATTTTACCATGTAACAAAGAGTTGTAGGCTTTTCACACACAGCTGGTGTTATCGCTTCTCATATAAGGAAACTAAGAATTAACAAGGTTCAGAAAATTGGCCAATAAATGGTGGAAACAGTAAAACAATTCAAAACAAAAAAATCCCTAGATCTGTTGACTCTAAATTCTGAGCCATGATATCTGACCTATACTCTGACACAACTAAAATTTCTCAGATGGCCCAGATTTTCCCCATTCTAGATATTAAAATAAATAATTTCATAAAGTTATAGCAGGTACCTAAAAAACAGTTTCTACTGAAAAGTACTAATTCCTCTCTTGGGCTGACATGAGGAAACCAGAAGCAGGAGAGAAGCCTGGTACCTCTACCTTCATTTTGCATCTGGGCCCTTTACTTCAGGTCAGAATGAGCCTGCTGATCACTTAGTGAGCATGTAGCACTGATTTCGTCTCCACTCAAAGCTGAAGGCACAACCAACGGTCAGCTTTTACAATGTCTTCCCCCAGACCTCCCCAAAAGTGCCTGGTTGTCTCCGGCCACAGCCCTAACCTTCCTGCAGGCACTGACTACAGGAACGCAGGGCCTGGCAGACTGTTCATCCCATGACATCACCCTAAGGCGACCTGATTGTCCCACCAAGCAATAAGGACATATCCAGGGCCGTCTTGCAGAACCATATGTTGTGCGTACCTCTTGTCCCTTGCCCTAATTTTAACTCTACGTAAAGTGAACACCACTACCTGAGGATGGGCTGAGATGCTTAACTTCCATCATCCCAAAGCAGCATTTTGGCATTAAAATCCTTTTCTAACTTTTCACCATTACTTTTGTCTGCATTCCTTAGGGCCAGGGGCTGACAGGTTGGAACCGCGAGACAGGCCTCTATTAAAAGAGTCACCCCCGACAGAAACTATGTTCTAACAAAATAATTCAGACTCACATAATTCATTTGGTAGACAGTATTTTGTCCTAGGATTTTATCTTTATGCTGCCTACTTTAGGTTGCAATATGTTTCTAACACCCACTTTTTGAGGTTTTAAAATGGTATTTTAATTTTTTCCCTCAGTTTGTATGTTCAGCCACCTGTACACTTCCTCTGTACTTCCCCAAAGTGGAGAAGAGAGAGAAAAATCGGTCCTCTCTCCAAGGTTATATTAATAGAGAGGTCCAGATTTGGGGCTATTTTAGCAAGTAGATCGTTGGACAGGCTTGCCTTCTAGTTGGTCCCAACTAGTTGGAACACATCAACATTTCTTTTTTCTTTCTGTCCAATATCTATTGTGAACTAAAAAATTGCCTCAGTAGGACTCAGCTGCCCACCTGGTGAACATTAGGCAGGAGGAGACTGTCCTAATTCGATCAGCCCTTTTCCATAGACAGCTGGGTCCACCGCCAGGTTCATTGAAACACTATTTGTGCTCTTACTACGGTAGACTTCATAGAGTGGTCCTTGAGGAAGCCGTGTACCTAGGCTATTCTGGAGAGTCTGTTAAGCCTGAGAGTGAAGAGGGCCTTGTGTTTAAGAGATCGGGACTGGGGCTAAATTAGTGGGATTTGATCCCCCCCTCCCACTGTTATTTAGCTCTTGGTTATGTAATTTTTCTGAAATTCAATTTCCTTGCTAGATTGGGGGTGGTTACAATAACTACCTCACAAGGCTGTTGTGGGGATTCAAATAAGTCTACCTTTAAAAGCAGTGTTTACAGCACGTTTAAACCCTCCGTTCAACATCAGTTCTTTCTATCTCCCAATCCCAAAGCCTTGGGAGGACGAGGCCGGCATTTTCCAGGTGTCCCCACGGCTTGCTTAAAGGGTAAGGCTCGCATCTGTAGGGCTGACCCACGAACCGCCCTCCGGGGACGGAAGGTGTGGACACAGCAGAATCCACATCTGGGCAGAGACGCTCACCGGGCCAGGAGGGATGCTTACCCGCAGCCTTTCCTTTCGAGGAGGCGGGGCCTTTCGCGCTGGCCCTGGCTGCCCAGCCTGTCCCTCCGGGCGCTGCCCAGGTCCGACCTGTTTCGCACTCAGCCAGCTGCGCGGCCCGTCGGGCCCGGGTGGGCGGCGGGTGAGGCAGGGCCACCCTGGCTCCCCGCAAGTTTGGGCGGCCCGGGAGACAAAAGGCACTTTTTGCTTTGGGGTTCTCGCGGCGCTTCGCCCTGCCGCTCCCAGCCCCCTAGCTTTGTTCCCAACTCCCCCCCGCCCCCCGGCGCTGCATCCCTCCGAGTCCCCCCCTCTTTGTCTGGCCGCCACCCCGGAGCCCCTTTGTTGTCCACCGTCTCGGCGCCCACCATTCCCGAGAAAGGAAGTGAGCAGAGGCGGAGGCGAAGCCGCCCTCACACGCCCCCACCGGGGAGCACGACTCTCGGTCGCCCTCGGGCGACAGCGGCGATCGAGCCTCAGCCCCTCGCCCGAGCCCTCAGCACGGAGGAGGGGCGCGGCGAGGCCGGCGTCCTCCGATTGGCTGCGGGAGTCGGGGCGCCGCGCCGCCATTGGGCCGCGGGGCTGTCGGGCGCGCGAGTGCGCGAGGTGGGGAGGGGGCGCTGGAAGCTACTGGAAACCGGGCGGCCGGGCGGCGTGAAGGGGCCGCTCGCGGGTGGGTGGGCGGGGCGCCACGCAGTGGGCGGGCTCACGAGGCTCCGCCCACGACCCCTCCCCGCGCGGCGGCTCCGACCGCGGGCGGCCGAGGGGCGGGCGCGCTTCTGCATCCCCATCCTCGGCGTAGCTCGGCACAGAGCGAGCGGCAACTGGCCGGAGCGGGCGGGCGCAGCGCGGAGGCCCGGCCATGGCCACCACCAGCACCACGGGCTCCACCCTGCTGCAGCCCCTCAGCAACGCCGTGCAGCTGCCCATTGATCAGGTACGGACGTCCGGGGCGTCGTGCTCTGGCCGCCCCTGCCGGCCGCGGTGCCACCCGGGCGGGAGCAGGGTGGGGGCTGGGGCCGGGGCCGCTGTGCCCGGCGCCCGGCGGGGCGGGGACGCGCGGCTGGCCTTGTCCCCTCGCCTGTCGCTCCAGCTGGTGCCTCGGTGCCCACCCAGCCTCCCATCGCCGCCCCGGGCGGGGGTGGGCGCGGGCGGAGGCTCGACAACAGCCCGCCGGGGAGGGCTAGACAGACGTGCGCGTGTGCATGCTGCCGCTGCCCAGCCACCGGGCGTAGGACCCGGGGCCAGTTGCGGGTTATCGGCTCCGGAGGCTGAGGATGGTCTGGGTGCCGAGTGCTCAGGACACGTCGTGGATGGATGAGGCTTAAGCGGTCCTGCACTTGGGGACAGTTTGCATTGAAGTGTGGCTCGACAGACGGAGAGGCAACAGTTTGGGCGAAGACAGGTTATGAAGAGAAGTCAAAGTGAGTTCATGATGCCAGGGTTTCTGGTGAAAAAGTTGCAGCTGTGGATGGGAGCAGCCGTCCTGTCCCCTCACCCTACCCTCAGAGAAGCATTTGACAGTAGGGAAGGCTGGCATTTAAATGAGGCCAGTCGAATTTGATTGTTAAAAGGGCCTCAGGATTACTGAGAAATAAACAGTATTGGGATGGAGAAAGCAGCGCCATTTTTATTGAGCAAAGGAACTTTGGAAGTATGTCCTGAGAGAGGTCTGGGAAAGTTGATGGGGTATGGTTAGCTAGTTGGTCTAGCTCCGGGGCTGAAGGTAATTGACTTTGGAAGCCTTGCTTAACATTGCTTTTGATCTGGAGGTGTTTGCATTTTCCAAGGAATACGGGCTCAGTGTCCTCAGTTTGACTGGCTGCTATAGCTGTTTTAAGGATTTCATTTAGAACACAGACTTCCTCCCCCTCTGGACTTAAGCTGGAGGTGACATCTGAGCTCAACATCGTGCTCACCGCTTTGTGCTTCACTGTTTAAAAGAAAGCATACTGAATTATGTCGAAGGAGGGTTAAACAGTTCTGTCTAGTGTTCAGGTCTGAGTTCTTTCCTTCATTTCACTCCTAACTTTCGATTAATAGTGAAATAGCTGTTCTCCACATAGCTTAAACAGCAGTTGTGTGCAGTGTGTATTGTGCTGATAGATTATTAGAGTGCCCCAAGTGAAAGGATTCCTTTAATTCACAGAATTAGTCTTTGTTTATTAAGTTGATGAGAACCAAACACTTTGGCTATTCTCAGTCTTGTGGAGGAGTCTCACTATTTCCTAAATGGAATTGTGGCACACACCTTTAGGCATCTCTGACTTAAATAGGTTGGTGCCAGCCTACCAGCAAGTGCAGGGCGGGATCTGGTGAAAAGTTTTCTTGCTAATGAGAGAGAGAGAGAGAGAGAGAGAAAGAGAGAGGCTTATACCTACCTTTTCATTCTTTTGGGGAGACAGATCATTGTATGTTCTTTCTGCCATAGCATTATCATGCTAATACTTCTAAATTTATATAAAGGATCGTAACTTTTTAAAAGTAAACTAACATCAACAAGCTTCTTTAAACATCTCAGCAATCCAGAGAAAGTCCTTTATGGAACTGAAGTAAGCAGGAGGATCGAGGGAAGGTGCCGGAGTTAAGACTGTGACTTTTCTTTGTGAGCCCGAGGTTTTGACTTGGTGTCTCAGACGATCTTCATCTTCTGGGATACTCCTTAAGTTTGTAGAACCCTGAGCTTATGTGGCCATTTGTATAACACAGTTGTTTGCGCGGTGGCAAGCGAGTCTTAAGAATATTGGGTTAATATCACAGTCTTTACTTTTCATAGCAGTAACTATTTCTGTGAAATACCAAGGAATTGACTCTTCCTAATGCTGCTCTTGTAGTAATTGACACTGTAAAGTTATATGTTTTAAAATTGAGCCAATCAGAAAAGTTTTTATAGCACATGAGCAGTTGAATCCATGTTGAAAAAAAGCCTAAGACACGGCCATAGTAAAAAAAAAAAAAAAAAAAAAAAATACAAGTCAGAAAGTGAAAAATTATAACTTGGCTAGTGTGTTCATTTGGTGTGTGCCAATTAACAGCATTTAGAAACTTTAGGAAATTATAAAAGCAGTTGTTTTAGGAAGTAATACAATGTGAACTCTTTACTATTGTGTTGCCTTGGCACACTTAGAACCTAAGAATGCCCTTGCTGCTGAGGTAGCAGGAGAAAAAAAGTGTTGTGTTGCCAGGCAAAGGCAAGGGAACAGCAGATCTTTGCCTTAGGCTCCCGAATCTTTATCTTTGCTGAGAATTCCAGAGTGACCTTGAGGTAGCCAAAGTGCGGTTCAGTTGCCCTTAAATTCAAATTAGAGCATGAAATAATGGTATCTGGGAGGCTACAGGCTCCTATAATGCAGGGAGTACCTGGCCCTTGATGTTTTGCTCTCTAGGCCCCACTTTCCAAGTGGCTTTATTTTTAGTGCAATTCTGGAGGTCTGATTAAAGGAGTGTGTGGAGGGTGGGAACCATCTTGAGGACTAGTTGTGCCAAAGAAAAGGAACAACTGACTGTGTGTGAGTCCCAAGGAGAGATCAGGTGTCTTTGTATCACGGGCTTCTGTTCCTTGTAAGTTGCTGATGTGTGGGGTTTTAGATTCCACAGCAAGTACCAAAATGAAACTAAGAATAATGTCCCAGATGATCAACCTATATACCTTTTCAACGTTTTATACCATCTATTACATTTGCTTTGCCTTGCTCTGAGTTGCCATGAGACTGCTGTCTAGTTGTAACTCTCTATGCCCTCCCTTTCTTTCTCCCTCCTTACTTCCCATGATGCTGTGAAACTGGGGTAGGGAACCAGGATAGTGCTCTAGGCAGAAGGCTGGTTAGAGATCAGCCAGGGAACAGCCCTCTTCACACGGGAGGGCTGTTTTATAGATGGTGTGCCAAACTCTTGGGACAAGGAGAAGACAAGATGTGGGGACTCATGGTGTTTTGAAGGGTCTGAAGGGAGGAGAAAAAGATGGGTGGGAAAGAAGGGTTAGGAGTTACTGAGCTTGCAAAGTCCAGCAGTAACTGACGTGTCCAACGCTTGAGAGTTTGTGAAGCTTCTCTGTGTATCTACAGCATTCAGTAGGATCCTCACACCTCTGGAGGTCAGAATTCAAACCCGAATTACTTAGTTCACATGGATGTGTGCCCACGTACATGGCTTTAAGGCTTTGTCTAAACCTTCAGTCTGTTTTGTTTGGGGAGAAATACTTTTAAACCTTATGGCAGTGAAGGCAAGAATAGGAAAGAAGTGTCCAGAGTTCCAAACACTGGTGTGCTGGTTGGTACTCATTGGTTGGGAGGGAACCCAAACTGCGTGTGGGATGCGTGTGTATGAATGTATATGTATGTATATGTGTGTGTATGTATGTATGTGTGAGCATGTGTGTATGTGTGTATAGGTACGTGATTGTGTGTTTATGTGTGTGTGTGTATGCACACACTCACGTGTAACAGAGGAAGAAGTGAGGAGGCTTAAGAAATCTTTGCTCCTTTGTGGTCAGTTTATTGATTGACTTTTCTTTTACGTGTCCTTCCCCCCTCACGCAGACAACCACAGTAGTGACATTTTAGGGAAGAGTTGGGTTAAGACTGATTTTTTGTGGCCAGAAGCCAAAAAAAAAAAAAAGACTGGCTTGTTAAGTCTCCCAACAGGTCTGAACTCTGAATCCTTTCATAGATGAAGGAAATGAAAGGAAGATCTAGGGGAACACTGAGAGGAGGGCAAGGTTCGCATGTTCTAGACTTGGCTTTGAGCTGCAGTTGGGGCTCATCAGTCTACGGACGAGCTGACTGCTTGTACACTTGTAAGGGTTGGTTTCCATCCCAAGAACCCAGAAGCAGTCGCAGAACGTTGTGGAAGATTCCTTCCAGTCAGGAAGGCATATGGGTCTGGAATCACCCTGTTCGTTAACAGTTTTAGAAATGTCACTTTAGATAAATGTTACTTCCTGTGTAAAATGTGTGTCAACTTTAGTTTAAAATCCCATGACTTTGTGTTTAGGAACTGATTAAAAAAAAAAAAAAAGACCCATACTTGGAGGGATATGAATCAAAAGTTAGGAAAGTGGACTAATAATTGGAGGATGTACGTTTCAGGGGTAAAGAGTTGAAGCTGCCCAAAGTTTAACCTAGCAAAGGAGAAGGGATATGTCCTGGAAATGCTGTTGAATGTAGTATCCTGCCCCTGCAGCCTGCCCGGCGCTCACTTTTCATGACAGGAAGTACCAGTCTGTGGCAATGGCTTGGAGTTCCCTGAGTAGGGTGGGAGCCTTGCTCTGTCCACTCTTGCTCTTGGGCAATTACTGTGCTTGCTTGCTCATTCATTGTTCGTCTTTCTGCTGTCTCTTTTTTTGAGACAGGGTCTCTCTGTAGTTCTGGCTGTCCTGGAACTCACTCTGTAGATCAGGCTGGCCTCAAACTCACAGAAATCCACCTGCCTCTGCCTCCGGATCAAGTGTGTGCCACCATGCCGGGTTCTACTGTGGTTTCTTGCGTCCGAGTTTCCTCCTCTGTAAAATGAGAGTAACTAAGCGCTGTGCACTCACAGATTATTGTAAAACACTTAATCAGTGTAACAGCCCAGCTCCGGAGATGTTTGAGGCACACTTTCTCTTTGATTATGAAACACTTCCATTTTATGTTTTTATTTTTAGTATTGCATTCTTAATCTTCAGGACTTCCTTTGGGAAGGGGACTAGGAAGCTACCGTCAAGTTTTGTGTTATAGTGATTAAAGTCGGATTGAAACCTACTTGTAAATTTGGAGTTAAAGGTGTTTTTGCTGGCTCCTTACTGCTTTAGAGTTCTTTGTGACTTGATAATATTCCTGCTGATGGCTTGGCCTCTCTAGGTGCACACAACCCTAGCCTCTGTTTATTAGGTTGGGTGCGGCTGACTTGAAGTACTTAAAATAGCTCACACACAGCTTTCACTTGCAGTCCACTTTA